AATGAAAAGAAAATGTATGCATGTGCTTTCGCATGCATTTCTATTTTACAAACTAGATTGTTTGTGCACAGACGAGCAAACATCACGTTATGCCTTTTCATTGCAGGAAGAACAAGTTAGATTGTTATGCAATCTAATGAAACATATTAGGTATTTTCTTTTCATTGCACATAGAAACATGTTAGTTATTGCGTGCATATTCTTTTAATGCACAACGTTAGACGTTAGATGTGTTTTCGTTGAACAACGGAATTAGTTATTGCATGCGTTGTAAGGAAACAGCTAATGGCAACGATTTCTCTTCATCACAGAAATGCAACAACTAATGCAATTATTTCCCTTGTTACAAAACATATGCATTACACATCTCTTTGTTGCACAAAGGAACGAGTAAGTTATTGCATTGCACGACCGCTCAAGTGATGTTTTTTCGTCAGTGCACAAAAGAATTAGTATGCGAAAGAGTCAAAGGGTCCTCAAAGGTTATAATAAATATTAACTTTTTTTTTTGTTGTTGATTTATAAGCTATAGATAGGTTCCTTTTTGTCTTAGTGAACATATTTCTGGTTCACGGGTACTTGATTCTAAGCCACAGAGAAGCCATATCTGACCTATTGAACTAATTTCTGGTCTATGTTTCCTCAAAAGTTTTTAAATAATGTCAACTGATAGACTCAATCTGATGTTATAAACATAGGTTCCTTTTTGACTTACTGAATATATTTCTAGCCTATGGGTAATTAATTGATCCTTCTCATGATGTTATTTCAGCCAGAAAGTTTTTTGACCTACTGAACCTATTTCTGGCCCAAAAGTACTTGAACTTGAACTTTCCATACATACTCATAGACTCCAATAGATGCTTCCTAAGTAATGGAAAAGTCCATATCTGACCTTTTGAACTCATTTCTGGTCAAAGGTTCCTCAAAAACTTTAAAACGATATAAACTTATAGACTCCTTCTGATGTTATATGACATAGGTCAATTTTTGACCTCCAGGAATTCTTTAATGGCCCATGGGTCCTTGGTCTGTAGGTTATTATACCGAGAGATTTACTTCTCATGATGTCATTTCAGCCAGACAAATATTTGACCTACTGAACATGTTTCTGGCCCAAAAGTACTTGATCTTGAACTTTCCATACAGACTCCAACAGATGCTTCCTAAGCCATAGAGAAGTTCATATCTGACCTATTGAACTCATTTCTGGTCAAAGGTTCCTCAAAAGGTTTTAAACAATATAAACTTATAGACTCCTGATGTTACATTAGCTATACATAGGTCAATTTTTGACCTCCAGAAACACATTAATGGCCCACGGGTATTTGATGTTTGGGTTAATATACCAAGAGCTTTACTTCTCATGATGTCATTTCAGCCAGAAAGATATTTGACCTACTGAACATTTTTCTGGCCCAAAAGTACTTGACCTTGTCCTTTCCATTCATACTCATAGACTCCAACAGATGCTTCCTAAGGCATAGAGAAGTCCATATCTGACATATTGAACTCATTTCTGGTCAAAGGTTCCTCAAAAAGTTTAAAACAATATAAACTTTTAGACTCCTTCTGATGTTATATTAGATATACATAGTTCAATTTTGACCTCCAGGAACACATTTATGGCACATTTCCAGAAGAAAATGTGAAGTGGAGCTTGAAGCGGCAAATCTCAGCACCAGGTTGCTAGGGTGTTCTGTGAGGTTGCTACGATGTTCTGGGTGGTTGCTAGGTGTTTTTTTAGGGTATTCTGGGTGGTTGCTATGGTGTTGCTATGCTGTTGCTAGGGTATTCTGGGTGGTTGCGAGGGTGTTCTGGGTTGTTGCTAGGGTGTTGCTAGGCGGTTGCTGGGGTGTTCTGGGTGGTTGCTAGGGTGTTGCCAGATGGTTGCTGGGGTGTTCTGGTTTGTTTCTAGGGTGTTCTGGTTGGTTGCTAGGCTGTTGCTTGGTGGTTGCTAGGGTGTTCTTGGTTGGTTTGAGATTTACTTCTCATGATGTCATTTCAGCCAGAAAAAATATTTTTTTGCCAGGTTGGGCTGGATGAAACCTGGCTGTTGCCAGGTTGTTCTGGATGGTTGCTAGGGTGTTGCTAAGTTGTTGCTGGGTTGTTCTTGTTTGTTTGTGGGGGTTTCTGGGTGGTTGCTAGGGTGTTGCTAGGGTTTTTTAGGTCGTTACTATGGTATTCTGGGTTGTTGCTATGGTGTTACCAGGTGGTTGGTTGTGTTCACATATGGTTACTTAAGAGTTTCTATAATGTTTTTGGCATGATTTAGCTCTTAACTAATCGATTCCTTTATTACATTTCATGTTTATATTGTTTGAAACCTTTTGAGGACCCTTTTACCATAACAATATAAACTTATAGACTCCTTCTGATGTTGTATTAGTTATACATGGGTCAATTTTTGACCTATGTAACACATTTATGGCACATTTCCAGAAGAAAATATGAAGTGGTGCTTGCAGTGGCAAATCTCACCACCCGGTTGCTTGGGTGTTCCCGGTGGTTGCTACAGTGTTCTGGGTGGTTGCACACTGTAAAAAGTAATTGCTGATTCTACTAAAGGAAAACTAGTGAATATAACTTACTTTGGAAACTTAGTTGATTTAACTTGATTAGACTGTGTACTGTGAACTTTTAGGTGGATGCAATAGTTAAACTAAACAAATCTAGTGTATTGTACTTAAGATTGGTAAGTGTACTGTACTAAAGGCCTGTTCACACTGTTGCAAATGTTTGGAGCACAAATTTTCCAACGTGATATTAATAATAATAATGAAATTAATAACATTTTGAGTAAATACACTACAATTAAGTTTGATAATAGCTATATACCACACACACACACACTCACACACACACACACACACACACACGTGCGTGTATATTTATTTATTAATAGGTTCTTAATCTTTTTCTTTTTTTTCCTCCATGCTATAAAATAACTGGGAAGATTAAAGCAAATTAATAAAGCAAAAAAGCCCAAGGGCTACTGCTGCTTCACAGTCCTCTTTATATTTTTATTAACAGAGCTTGATATAGTTATTGATCGTTGGTTACCAAGTTTCAGCATAAGACGAAACAACTATATTTTTCTTAAAAGCATTTTCGACTCGCGCATGCGCAGTTGCGCAAATGGACGGTTGAAGAAGACGACGACATCGACGAAGAACTTCATCTAGCTGCTAGTCGTTCGGGATTCGGCAGCAAAACTAGGTATGCTAGCCTCTTGAACTACTATTTATCAACTTTAATGTCATTGCATTGCCTATAAAACAGATTTAATTTTGCTCATTGTGTAGTTAGAGGAAAAGGCACACTGAAGTAGTTTTATGTCGTCGAATGAGACTGGTTGAGACAAGTGGCTTTAACGTTAACGTTAACTTGGACCGATTTTTACTGAACACTGTTTTATGTTCATTTTGTAAGCTGTGTTGATCGGTTCTAAGTTCGGGGTTAATCATTAATAATATTTTAAAAAATTGTGCGGCCTATAACGTTAAGTTACTTTAATTCTTTCCAGAAAGTTCGACGCTCACGTGTCGTTCACATGGCAATGAACAGCACTATTTATCAACTTTAATGTCATTGCATTGCCTATAAAACAGATTTAATTTTGCTCTGTAGTTAGAGGAAAAGGCACACTGAAGTAGTTTTATGTCGTCGAATGAGACTGGTTGAGACAAGTGGCTTTAACGTTAACGTTAACTTGGACCGATTTTTACTGAACACTGTTTTATGATCATTTTGTAAGCTGTGTTAATCGGTTCTAAGTTCGGGGTTAATCATTAATAATATTTAAAAAAATTGTGCGGCCTATAACGTTAAGTTACTTTAATTCTTTCCAGAAAGTTCGACGCTCACGTGTCGTTCACATGGCAATGAACAGCACTTATCAAGATAGTGTAACTATCTAACAAGCAGTTATTACCTTAGTTTGTCTTTTTATTTTGTGTATGCTTATTTTGGGGACTTAAATTCATGCAGTGGACGTGCAAATTCTGCTTGTTTTCGTGTGAAAAGAGGGCTCAGCTGTTGAAACACTACAGATTAAAACATGGAAGCTACTCTAGAAGTACTCCGATTCCATGTCTCTACACAGATTGTCTGTGTTCATTCAAATCATTTAATGCACTAAGGGTGCACTTAACAAAAAACCATTCACATCAGACACATGGTAGTCAATCCAGTCCATGTGATCACATCCCTTTGATATTTCATTGCCCACTGTGCAGTTTTGAGGAGCCCTGCACAAAGTCAATATTTTTTTCTCATTTACGGCAGCATCTAAAAAATCATGAAACTGTGCAGTGTCCATACAACAATTGCAATTTTGAGAGCAATGTCTACTCTACATTTAATTCCCATATATGTAGAGAACATGGTGCACTTGATCAAAGGCAATTGAAATCTGAGATTCTCTTACACGTTGCTACTCACAATGTAGATAATGTGCAACACGAAGAACCTTTGAACCCTGATCCAGTAGATGAGCAATTGGAGGAAAATGATACAGAGAATGAAAACCTAGATTTATTGCATCATCAATTGGAGCACAATTTAGCTGCACTATTTCTCAAAATGCAGGCAATTTTGCATGTTTCTGATTCGGCTGCGCAGGAAATAATTCAAGAAATAAATCAAATTGTACTTTTTTCAGAGCCGCTTGTCTATCGTGCAATTCAGCAAATTCTCCTTCAACATGGACTGAGTGACTGTGATTCATTAGTGAGAAAAATAGTGAATGCAGTTAAAGACAGTAACCCAATCTTGACAATGACCAAAGATGATGGAATAAGCAGAAGAGCATCATATTTTCAAAGGGAATTTCCAATTGTCATGCCGATTGAATACAAGCTTGATTCACAGTCAGTGTCTTATGTGCCTATTCTGCAAATGTTGCAGAAAATTCTAAACAGGGCTGACATTCTAAATAGGGTCCTTTGCAATGATCAATCAGTGAATGAATTAAAGACTTACAGAGATGGCACCAACTATCAAGAAAATGACTTTTTCAACACCGAGACCTTCAGGATTGTCCTGGGTCTTTATGTTGATGAATTTGAGCTGGCCAATCCCCTTGGTACTTCGAGAAAAAAACACAAAATGTTCGCTCTCTATTGGGTTCTAGCCAACCTTCCCTCAAAAGATCGTTCATTACTTCAGTCAATTCAGCTAGGAATTTTATGCAGAGCTACTGCAGTAAAACAACATGGTTATGCAGACATCTTGCGCCCACTTGTTCAGGACCTTGAAACTCTTGAAAAGCATGGTGGATACATTGAACAGTTAGGAGACTGTGTGAAAGGAAGTGTGCTTTTTGTGTCATCTGATAATCTAGGTGCTCATTCTTTTGCAGGACTAACTGAGAGTTTCACTGTTGAGCACCCATGTCGGTTCTGCTTGGCAAAGAAGAGTGAAATCCAGGAGAAGGAAGTCCGGTCGGGAGCATTTGAACTGAGAACCAAGCAGGAGCATGACAGGCATGTAGCTGAAGTGTTACACGATGCGAGTTTGGTAAAGCAATATGGTGTAAAAGGTAGCTGTGTTTTAAGTGAAAGGTTGGAACATTTTCACACAGTTGGTGGTTTTCCACCTGACCTAATGCACGACCTTATGGAGGGTGTCATCCCTATTGAAATGTCCTTGTGCATTAATGATTTGGTCTCAAGGAAATTAATCTCTCTGGAATCCCTGAATCAAACTATCAAGCAGTTTCCTTACAAATTCTCAGACAAAGTTGATCAGCCTCAGATCATCCCAGGCACATTTGCATCAAAAGGTACCATTGGGGGTAATGCCCATGAGAATTGGTCACTTATTAGACTTCTGCCCCTCATGGTTGGCTTTGATATCCCTGAAAATGATAAAACATGGGAAATTGTGTTGCTTCTGAAAGATATGCTAGAAATGACATTGGCATTCAAGTTCACTGAGGATTCTCTTGATTTCCTTGACGCAAAGATCTCAGAACACAGACATTTACTTTTAACAGTCTTTCCTCTTTAGGGGTTCAAGCACGAAGTGCTGAAACCCTATTGTTATTGTTAATTTACCCATAATGCAACATTCTCCATGTAAAACTGATCGTGCAGGACGAACCGTAAGTCCTAGAGACCTGAAACTTTGTGGGCTGGTAGTACTCATATCCGCCGACAGCGTCACAAAGGCGGGCCCCGATCGGCCTGACGGGGGCGCTACAGCGGGCAAAAGTACGAAATGGCTCATAACTCCTCAACCGTCGGGCGTAGGCTCAAGTGTCTTACATCGTTGGAATCCTTGGCTCCAGCCGGACAAGATGCATGCCTCGGATTGGCTCGTCACCCTGGGTACATTTTCGGGTATTTAGCGTTTTTCGTAAAACCTACTTTTGCGAACTAGTCCTAGGTTTTTGGCCCGGCCGGAACCAAACCAATGCGGCGAGACTCTATGGAGTCCGAATGTCAATAATTATCAAAAAAAAGTTGAAATTTGGGTTCACGGTCCCTGAGGGCCACCAAAACGTCCCAAGTGGGAGGAGCCCCTTTGACTAAATGGCCTATAACTCGTCAACGGAACGAGATATTTGCACCAAACTCAACGCACCTGTGTGAGAGCTCATTCTGTGGTCGCGTTAAAAAGGACGGGGCGACTGGCCACTTGGTGGCGCTATAACTGTTAAAAAGGTGCCAAAATGATGTATTTCTATATGGCAAATCCCATGAAATGGATGAAAGCGGCCCTCTACCTGCCTGATTTGCATGAAACCTCACAAAACCGGGCGTGCGCATGCGTCAACTGACCCAATAGAGGCCTGGAAACTTTTATGGATGTCGGTCCACCGGTGGCCCTTTAACTGTTATAAAGGGGGAAAATGCTCCATAAAATCATATGCAGAATGACATTTAAGTGACTGAAAAATGGTCTGCTCTGCTCAAAACTTCACCAAATTAGCTGAGCATGTGCGCCATATTATTCTAAGGAAGCGTGCAAAGTTTTTTGGAGATCGGGCCATCGGTGGAGGTGGCGCGGTTTAAAAGGTGAAAAAATAACACACCACATTTCCATGAAAAATGAGCTAAAAAGGCAAAAAAGCGACCCTCTCCACTCCAAGGCACATGTTAAAAAGCGTGATAAAATTTTTGGGACGCAGCAGTGCAAGCGCCAAGTGCGTAGACCCAACGGTTTTATTTTTATAGGCCTTTTTAGTCCCTTTTTAGCCCCTATTATTAGGGGTTCAAGCACGAAGTGCTGAAACCCTATTGTTATTGTTAATTTACCCATAATGCAACATTCTCCATGTAAAACTGATCGTGCAGGACGAACCGTAAGTCCCAGAGACCTGAAACTTTGTGGGCTGGTAGTACTCATATCCGCCGACAGCGTCACAAAGGCGGGCCCCGATCGGCCTGACGGGGGCGCTACAGCGGGCAAAAGTACGAAATGGCTCATAACTCCTCAACCGTCGGGCGTAGGCTCAAGTGTCTTACATCGTTGGAATCCTTGGCTCCAGCCGGACAAGATGCATGCCTCGGATTGGCTCGTCACCCTGGGTACATTTTCGGGTATTTTGCGTTTTTCGTAAAACCTACTTTTGCGAACTAGTCCTAGGTTTTTGGCCCGGCCGGAACCAAACCAATGCGGCGAGATTCTATGGAGTCCGAATGTCAATAATTATCAAAAAAAAGTTGAAATTTGGGTTCACGGTCCCTGAGGGCCGCCAAAACGTCCCAAGTGGGAGGAGCCCCTTTGACTAAATGGCCTATAACTCGTCAACGGAACGAGATATTTGCACCAAACTCAACGCACCTGTGTGAGAGCTCATTCTGTGGTCGCGTTAAAAAGGACGGGGCGACTGGCCACTTGGTGGCGCTATAACTGTTAAAAAGGTGCCAAAATGATGTATTTCTATGGCAAATCCCATGAAATGGATGAAAGCGGCCCTCTACCTGCCTGATTTGCATGAAACCTCACAAAACCGGGCGTGCGCATGCGTCAACTGACCCAATAGAGGCCTGGAAACTTTTGTGGATGTCGGTCCACCGGTGGCCCTTTAACTGTTATAAAGGGGGAAAATGCTCCATAAAATCATATGCAGAATGACATTTAAGTGACTGAAAAATGGTCTGCTCTGCTCAAAACTTCACCAAATTAGCTGAGCATGTGCGCCATATTATTCTAAGGAAGCGTGCAAAGTTTTATGGAGATCGGGCCATCGGTGGAGGTGGCGCGGTTTAAAAGGTGAAAAAATAACACACCACATTTCCATGAAAAATGAGCTAAAAAGGCAAAAAAGCGACCCTCTCCACTCCAAGGCACATGTTAAAAAGCGTGATAAAGTTTTTGGGACGCAGCAGTGCAAGCGCCAAGTGCGTAGACCCAACGGTTTTATTTTTATAGGCCTTTTTAGTCCCTTTTTAGCCCCTATTATTAGGGGTTCAAGCACGAAGTGCTGAAACCCTATTGTTATTGTTAATTTACCCATAATGCAACATTCTCGACAATTTGGAGTAAATTGCATTTTTTTGAAAAACAAACTTTTGAGAACTATTTCTAGGTTTTTGGCCTAATCTGAACCAAACCACTGCAGAAATGTTCTCTGGAGTCTCACTGTCTATAATCATTAAAAAATTTCACAATTTCAATTATCGGTTGCTAAGGGAACCAAAATGTTTGATGGCACGAAAGCCACTTTTACTAAAATGGTTATAACTTGTGACTGGAATTAGATATTTTTGCTAAACTTGGGACACCTTTTCCTGAGCTCATTGTGAGGTCACATGAAAAAAATTGCGATGATTGGCCACTTGGTGGCGCTATAACAGGGAAAAAGTCATGAAAATGGCCATTACCACAACCAACCACTAGTCAAATAAAAATTGGCATGCAGTCTGTTTGTCCAGGGTACCTTTATAGTCTATGAGAACATTGGTGTATCTCAAAAAACTCAGTATAGGTCATCGGCACAATGCCCTGAAGGAGCCTGAGAATTTTCAACCCTGCGTTTTTTCATGGGAGTGCCCTCTTCACACTCCTGAATCCTTCACGAGTCCAATGATACCAAACATGCCAGATTTGGCCTCATAGTTTTTGTAACGGTGACATTTAGAGCTTTGAAAAAAATAAATGAATAAATGTTGTTATCTTCAAAGGTGTTAGTTCGATCAAGACAAAAAAAATAGGCAATTTGAAAACAGGCAAATAGCTTTAGTAATTGACATAATGCCCAAATGTAAATAAGTTTCTAAACTTCATAACGAAATGAGATATTTACAAACACATTTTACATATATATGGGCACACTTTGAGGACTACTAAAAAAAGTGGTGTAGATCAGGCAAGACAAGATTCTGTTACTGTCAAAAAAAGGCAAAAATATATTTTCCTAAGTAAATTGTTGGTATTGGCTGTAGATGTTCTTTCCTATGTTCTGATTTTATTTGTTTATTTGGATCCTCATTAGCCTTCTCTTCCTGGGGTCCCAACAATCAAATACAAATACTATGTTTAATCAAAACCAATAAAAAGTTAGGTCAATGAACCTAACATTTATTCCAAATATCAAAAACAACAATTTACCATATATAGTGTTATTAAAGGTGCCATCTGTAAAAATTGAAGTTAAAATATCCCAAAAATGAGCTACACGCATCAAAAGAATGAGAAGAAATAAGGTTGATGATGTCATTAAAAAAATAACAAGTTATAGTGCTGCCGAGATATTAACCTTGAATTTATTTCAGCATGCTAAATTACTAGCCCCAGCCCGGCAGGTGTCATAATACCAGTTTCAGCCATGGGAGGCAGTATGCGAGCGGGGAACATAACCATCAGTCAAACTGCAATACACGAATAACTCGCATGGCTTGTGGGTCTACATCTACATGAGCCTGATGTCAATCATGTGGAAACAGCCCACTACTACATTTCAGTTCTGGGAAGAGTTTAAAAAATTATTGGTCGATATTATGCATAAGGAATACATTCTGGCAAGTTGTAACATACTGTTTCTTTCAACAGTTTTCGGTTCTTTTACCATTAGCTAGTAGAGATAATCGTTTCACGTGCACTCTGTCGTGTAACATTTACAACCACCAAAAGTGTATTTATTGTTTGAATTGCGTAATAAAATTAACAAAATCTGAGAGCTGAGATTTTTTATATATCATAACTAACCTGCTCCATCTTGTCTGTCATTCTCTGTGTCCTTTTCTGTGCATGACAAAATTGATGTGTGGCCTGAGAGCGTGTGAAAACTTTTCACTGAAAAGTGTCAATTGCGTGTCTCGCGGAGAATTCATGAGAGTTGGCAGCTCTGAATGGTGCTAGCTTGGTCAACCTCAGTGAATGCTCTCTGTCAAATTAATTCAAACTAACAATAAAAATGTATTATGAAAAAAAAACAAATACCATTAAACTACAAATAATAGTCTGGGCTTTTTATTTTCCCATATCGTCGGAATGCACCGGCTTGTATTTGATACAGGCGTCTATGAGACGGACT